CACCCAAAACCCAGACATGAGGAAAGATCTCCCCGGATCCTCCTTAACAATGGTAATGTTCCATTAGGAACATCATTTTCAGGAGAAGGCTCTGGAAAGACTGAGAAGATACGGAGTACACCTCTGTCACATCAGAGACAGCTCTAAGATCTGCTCGTGCTCTTCAGCTGTCTTCACTCAACCACCCGCTCAGAAAACAGATCGAGGTGCTTGCTAACTTAAACATAACTCGAAGAAAGAGAATTAACACAGTCCAGAGTCTTTACAGATCTCGAGTGCCAGGTTTTTACAGTGGCTGTAGAATGTAAACTGAAATCCAACTACCCCTGGCCTTGTGCTCACCTCCACATGGCACCTTCACTGACTTGCCATCATTGTTACCAGTAACTCCTGTACAACTGTGACACAAAAAGAGAAATAAAACGAGACACTTACCCTCCTTCAAAGATCTTGATCCTGACTGGCTCCCCTCTTTTGGTTACAAGAGTCTCTTCTTCTGATTTTCCTCTTTTATCCTCTTCCTTCTCAGCTCTAGTTATATCTTTTCGACCTTCATTAGAAAGGACCGAAGGCAAATGAACCTATCTCCCCAAAAGAGCAAAACAACCAATGATTACATACAAAATAACTCTAAGACAGGCACAGACCAAACAGCCTCAGAAAGAGCCAACAACCTACCGCACATGCCGCTCCTGACAGCTAAGTGCAGTAATTAGGACATCCTCTTAACAACCAGGCCTTCTGCTTCTGGATTTTGAGCCCTGCTGGTTATATTTACTGTGACTGCTTACAAGTTTTTAAATCATATAGCGGCTCAGTATTATCCAGCTCTTGCCAACTGGAAAAATGAGGCATAAAGAGAAGTGTCTTGGCTGGGGTCTCTCTGAGTGCGTGGTGAAGCCATAGGTCTCTGTTCCCAAAGCCACTGCTCTGTCCTTGGATAATCCTCTCTCTAATATACACATCTAAAAGCTCTAGAGAGGAGGCATCTGTAGAATTCATACATTTAACCTCAACCTTTGGGCTTCCCCCGCATACACACACATTCACACAAGTTTAGACTTTAGTCATCTAAACTTGATATAAACCACTTGACAGTCAAAGCTCTCGGGTGATTTCCTTCCATTCAGACTCTGTTGCCAAGGGCACAGTGCAGGGAAAGCCACAAAACCAACGGGAGAAAATAATCCTCAACCTCCCCAGATGTTCCCAGGGTAAAATTTGCTTTTCCACTGTTAAAACTGACACCCTTTATTTAGACCAAGGTTTAAGCCATGCACTGACATAGAATCATAGAATCACAGAATGGTTTGGGTGGGAAGGGACCTTAAACCCCATCCAGTTCCAACCCCCCTGCCATGGGCAGGGACACCTTCCACTAGACCAGGTTGCTCAAAGCCTCATCCAGCCTGGCCTTGGACACTTCCAGGGATGGGGCATCCACAGCTTCTCTGGGCAACCTGTCCCAGTGCCTCCCCACCCTCTGTGGGAAGAATTTCTTCCTGATATCCAATCTAAACCTCCCCACTTTCAATTTAAACCCGTTACCCCTTGTCCTGTCACTACAGGCCCTTGTAAAAACTCCCCCCCATCTTCCTTGTAGCCCTTCCCCCAGGTACTGGAAGTTGCTATAAGGTCTCCCTGGAGCTTCCTCTTCTCCAGGCTGAACAAGCCCAACTCTCCCAGCCTGTCCCCATGGCAGAGGTGCTCCAGCCCTCTGAGCATCTCCGTGGGCTCCTCTGGACTCGCTCCAACCAGTCTACATCCTTCTTACGCTGAGGGCTCCACCTCATCTAGCATGTTTAATGCTGTTCTAGTATATGGACCTAAACATTACAGCTGCCTCTCTAGCTCCACATGATGCAAAGGGATCTCTCCAAACCCAAACTGAAGTCTTGGAATGCTGTCCCCCTACAACCTAACAGTACAAATAACAGTGGTCTCCAAAGCTCTGAAAGAGGAAATCAGATTGCCTTTCACCCAGGTTATTTTTTACACAAGTGCATGAATATCTCTTAAGTTCAACTGAATTACCCATATCCTCGCTTTATATATAATTTATGGGAGCAGACTTGAGAGACCAGGGTTATTAGAGTGATTTTGGCCTGAAGGTAGCCAACAAACTGGCAGAAGTCTAAAGCAGACGTGGACACTCCTGACTCTTCACAGTTGCTGGAAAAAGGGTGATTCATCTGCCCTACCTTAGACACTTATCTTAAGGGGGGATGAATCACCCAAGAGGTGCCTCTTTGTCTCCCATGGTTATATGGGAAGCCAAAGAGTGACTAGCTCAAACTGAGACATGCAAAATTCAGTGGGATATAACCCAGACTCCACAGCACCGTGCTGCTGGTACCACCATCAGATTCTCAGCAGGAGGAGGGAGAGTCTCACAAAAAAGTAGCTTTGCAAAACTGAGGTCAAACATTTCAAATCTGCCCAGTAATTTCAGGAGCTCAGCTTAGAGCATTAAATGCACCCGGGACCGCTCTTTGCCCCTAGGTCCAGCTTGCATAGGTAGCCCACATCCACACCATCAGACCCACATACCCTTGCTAGATGCCTCCTGTGAATGGTCCCTTGTCCTGTCCTATCTCCCTAAATGTGCCCAGGAATTGCTTGGGAGAGGGCTATCATGCCAGGAGAGACCAGCACCTGGAACCATTTAAACAATTTCACAGCAGAAATGGTCTTGAGCTGGTGTCTCCGGGCATGGAGTTGTTTGTCCTTAGAGGAACTCAGTGGCAGGAGCCACACTGAGCACCTTCAAAAATTAACCCTTGGCAGATAGGACTTCAACTCCTGGTACAAGCTACACACTTGTGAGAGTGCTACTAATAACCTTCCCAGTTCAGTTCCTTATTTACTGAGGAATACAAAACAATTGACTTTCTAGATGTAGCATGAGGTTTATTTATTGCAACTTTTAAAAGCACAAAACATAGACAGATGAAAGGCACCAGAGAGCCAAAATCATACAGTCACTACTATCCCCTTTTACAATCTTGTTTAATTTACAAAGTGTGCAAGCCCGATACAGTGTAATTAGCCATCCCTACATGCACGCTGGAGCCTACAGTCACCTCGGAATTGATCTGCTCAGTAAATCCCACTAGTAATTTTAAAACCAAGCCAAGTACGTAGACAGTATATACACTACTACTGCTTGCTGGTAGCTTGCTGCATGCATAACTGTACAAAATACTAGAGCCGTTTCACATTTCCTGTTGTGTCGACTGACAACTTATAGTTACATAAAGAAGAAAATATTCAAAGGGAAATAGCTAGAGCAGAGTTAACTGAAGGCTGAACTTTCAGCCTTTGATGGATGCTACTGCTACGCAGCTTCTGTTAATCGCATCTTCCTGAGTAACCAGCAACGCTACTTCCTAATCTGTGCCACTCATTTGTATTTTAAAAACTTAACTGATGATTTTACTCCCACTGATCATCTCATTAAAAATTATTTCTCTGCTTGGCATGAAGTCAATTTATCTCCATTGAAATTAACATAATTTCTGCAAACCACACTCCTCTAAGCCGCAGGTATTAATATTAGATTTAGGCTACACCATTTTCTAGGTGAATTTGGCAGGACAAACTCTTTTGCAAACTGTACTGTGAAAACCTTAACTTTCACCACCAGTCAGCTTATAGGGTTTTGTCTAAGAGGTTTCTGAGTCTTTTGAGCAAATGCATGCAGTGAAATATGTATTTTGATGACTAAGGACTGAACCATTCCTGTCTAGAGCTTAACCTTTAACTTCAGGGTATGAGGGTCTCGTATTTCTGAAACACACACTTGGTGTGCATGTTAGCACCATGTCAAAGAGCAAAGCTCAGAGGAGCACAGGCACTTCTATCAGAGATTGAAATCAAGGATGGTATGACACCGTTCAGATAAAATCCTTTGAAAAAGAGTGCATAAATATCAAGCATTAGTGTGGTTATTGCACTGCACACGTAATTATCTGCCCCCATGTCCCTAGAAACTCTGGCTTTTGGATTTCTGCTGAAGAATGATGGAAATGCTGAATAGAAATAAAGATTTATTGAATCAATGTGACTCTACTGTGTATTTTAAGACATATTTATAAGCAGCAGCTGCAGCAGTGATTATGATAAATTTAATATTCAGAGTTCATTTCATGATACAGAAATAAAATGAATAATCCATCAATATAAATTGAGTTGAGATGAATATCAAATTGCAAAATCTTTAGAGCAATTCTGTTTGCTAATCTACATGAACATGATCTGGATTAAAGGTTTCTGTATGGTTCAGCATTAACCAAGAGGGGAAAAGTCTGGCCTCAAAATGAGATACATAACATTAGGCAGCTACCAGAAGTGTCTTAAAGATTTCTGTGCCCATACGGCCAACGTCTTCGGTGAGCTCTGCCCCTGTGAAGCTGTTTGCCTTGCTCCGCTTAACTTTAAAGACCAGGTATAAAATATCCTTAGATACCTGGAAAAGCAGGTAGCCAGATACGCACTTCAACTAAACGGACCAAATGACATGGTTGTTTTAACAAATCTCCATGTCTAACCTAGTGAGGCACTTTTATAAATGTCACTGCATGCCTTTACACTGCTTTGGAGGCCTAAATACACTTGCAAATCTCCCTTTAATATTTTTAAATACTTTTAGGCATGCCTCTCCATGTTCATTAATGTGAGATCAGTAGATGCACAACCAGACAGAATCCCATTTCCCCAAGGTAATCCTTTTTCATTTATAACATGCAAAATGTAGGGAATTATAACAGCATTTATATTAAAGAAAAAAAAAAAAGTTGTAAAGCTATTTGAATTATCAAGACAAATGCAAATCAAGTCTAATCCTTTGTGCTTGAGCAGTGGCAGTTCATGGTGCGGTGGTGATTCCTACATGCTCTTATGATTATAAGGCAAGTAGAAACTGGAGAACAGAAATATGGTGCATTGCCTTGGAGCAGGCTTGCCTTTTTTTTTTTTAATTACAGTGAATTTTAGTTTCTTCATTCTAAAAGCTTCACCGAGAACAAGTGCTTACCAAACTGAGAGGATGAATAAACTCCTATTAAACTAAGAACAGCAATTCCCCAGCCCTCGTCCCCCTCTTCCCATGTATCCAAATGGATGAGGAGAAATATATAGGATTGCATTACCTCTGTCATTTTTGGCTTCCTGGAGCTGGACGGGACAAGCCTGCCTGCCTCTGGACGTGGAGCAGTAGCCATGGTGTAGGTTTCCTTGCTCACCTTCTGCTTGGACCTCAGGAGGGACAGGGCTGCTTTAGTGGATATACCTGGGAGGTTGGGATTATACAAGCTAATACACCAGCTGGCATACACTGAAGACCGTCGATCAACTTGCTGGATGTGATTTGGCTTTATGTAGTTTAAATAGCACCAACTGACATTAGTGGTTGTGTGGAGACTGGGGAACTGAAGTACCTTCTTCATATCTCTACCTTCTCGAGACTTCATTGCACTATGAGTGACCTCAGGTGCAGACAGAGGTGCAGGGCTTGGAGGGTTTGGTGGAGACTGCTCCACCGGTTCTTTGGAGTCTTCTTTCTTCACGGGTTGCAAAGGTGCTTTGCTGAGGAACGGCTTACCAGCTGGTTGATTATACTCTTCCAGTGCCTCAAAACTTGGAGAACCTGAATGGGACACAGCTTGCTGCAAAGTACTTGGGATTTCCTTTGGCTCTGACTGCTCTACGGACAAACCAGGTGGTGTTTCAACCTCGACCCTGCCTTGGCTTTCTGCAAGAAAGTGAGATTTATCCTGCTTTTTCCCCTCCTCTATTGCACTGGGTGGCTTCACCACCTCCAACTTCTCTTCTGCTTCAGACATCTCCTCCTCTTTCACTCTCTTTTGCTGTTGTGTTTCCATTGTCAGCTCCAAACTACCAGCTGGAGAGAGCATCCTTTTACTTCCACCAACTGTTGATGTGCCCCCTTCCAGTCCGAGGATGCTGTCTGATGGGGAGGTGAGTGGCATATAGCCTTTTCGTTCTGGTAAGGGTAAGGGCACTCTCAGATACGGGCTCTGGAAAATGCTTCTTTGATCCTCTGTGATCATCTGTGCCAGATCGAAGCCTAGTCCATGTACATCAGCACTGCAGACCAGGGTACCCTTGGGTTGGCGATCATCAAATTTTGGGAGAACGATAGAAGAGGAGCTGCACTGGGATTGAGTGACCAGAATCTGGGAAAGCGTTGTGTACATCGCACTCCCATAGGACGGCATATTTGTCTGTATGCGCACAGGGACAACAAGTGACACCATTGGGTCTGACCGCGTAGGAACGACGAGCTGAGATGCGGATATGGACACTGAAGGACTTGCGCAGGTCAAAGGATGCAATCTACTATCCGAGCCATATTCTGTGCACGGGGAAAGACTGGAGGTTCCTGCTACTGGGAATAAACTGGATTTGATCTGCGGTAAATGTCCACCAGTTTCACCTGGCAATTGGAGAGCAAACTGAGACTGAAGAGGCAGAAAAAAGGCTGAAGGGATTGGTGAGGAGCCAGGGTAATGCACTGGCAGGAATGAAGGATGCTGCCGGAACGGCACCTCGGCAGGGTGAGACATTAAGGGAGGAGCGATATGAAGTGGGCCCGGGTGGATGAGCGTTTGAGGGAGAGGTGGGGTATGAAATATGGAAGGAGGAATCTGAGGCATGGTGAACTGAGCAGAGAGGATGTCAGACATAGTGTGTGCAGCAAAGAGCTCTGCAGAGTGCCCTGGCTGCGGCAGGAGATGCTGGTAGGGATGGGGACATGAACTGTTTTTCATGAAGCGTTAGCTGTGGTACAGGATGATGGAACACTTGCAGAGCTTCTGTATACGGCTGGGTGTACGCTGGCTGAGGGCTGTCTTTTGGCTGACTCTTCTCACTTGGGTAAGTACCATGAGAGGGCAAAGGGGATGAAGATGTCGGCTGGTGGGGCAAACTTGTCAAAGGAGATTTACTTGAAGAAGGAATTGGATCTTCCGTCTCTGGGCGGCCTGCTGGGGCCGAGTCTGGCTCATGCTCTGGGTGTCTAGTGAGGGATGCTTGCCTAACCAGAAAGCATTTCCTTCTCTCCTGTGGAGCCGAGGAGGCTGAAGGGCCAGGGGTTGAGGCAGGAGTGGATGACAAGCTCCCGTAATCAAATGATTTACTGCGCGTCTCTGACATCTGGGAAGGATGGGACACATTCGGTGTCTGCTCAGAAGCGGATCTCCGCATCTCCCTGGAATGATGGTGGTGGCTTGGTACCATCAACATATGGGAGCCAACGCCAGGAGGCTTTGGGTGGGATTCAGAGGGCTGGCTAGTTGACTCTGACTTGCTGTGATCTTCACGATCAAACGAGACAGAGTGGCTGGAGCCGTGGGATACGCTGCTTTCCTGACTCGGGCTTCGGGTGAGAGAGACTGATTCAAAACTGGACTCTCCAGAGGACTGAGCCATTTCTGCCAGCCGCAGCCTCTTCTTTTTTGGAGGGAGTTTCTCTGCAGGGAGCTGAGAAAGGGTCTGGCTCCTCTGTGGCCACTGAAATTCCTCCGTTTTCTCTGGCTCTTTTGGAGGAGGCTCTGGCTCTGTTTCTGGTCTGTCAGGCTCTTCTGTGACCAGAATCTCTGGGACCTGGATGTTGGGCTGGCGTACAAGCCTGGGCTGCAGGGAGTGAGGCGGTCGGCTGTGCTGGGGTGTCGGCTGGGATGAGTACTGTGACACGGGTTTGTCTTCTCCTTCCAAGCTGCTCGCCTGCTCAATAGAGTCAGACTTCTCAAAGGAGCTCGTATGCTGGATGACGGAGATCTCCTTTGAGGTTGTTCTTCTCTCTTTGCCCTCTGCGCTTGAAGCTGGTTTGGTATTCCTAGAATGAAAGCTGGCGCTGACATCAGAAGGTGCGGATTTACCCGGATCTGCTGGTGACTTAATGGATTCACGGGTTAGGTTTAAAGCAACATCAGATGATGCCGGGTTTGCAAACTGAGTCCCTGGCCCAGTACTGGAGGAGGGTGTGTCAGACAACTCAAAAGCTGGCGGCTCCTCATCATCACCAAGGCTCTTTTCCTTTCGTCTTTTTCGGAGGGGAGTGAGCTCCAAACTGGTCCCTAGCTTATAATGCATCATCTGGGGCCACGTGTCAGGATCTGCACCACTTTTCTCCGTCTCTGAAGAGGTATGGGAAGTGGAAGAACGAGGCTTTGAGAGCTGCAGTTCTGAACAGTAGTATTTCTTATGGGCTTCATAATTGTCCCTTTTCTTATACCGAGCACCACATACATTACACTCGTACATGAACCCTTTAACTTTCGGACCCTTCCGTGACTTTTTGGTAAGATCGCTTTCCTTGGTTTCAGGCTCCTCGGGAGGTTTGGAAACAGTTTCTTTGTTCACAGAGCTAACCTCCTCCGAGACATATTCTACTCCCAAAGGTAGCTCAATAGCTGGTTGTCGTTTTAGCATTCGAGGATGGGAAGAAAACGCTTGAGTACGGCTTAAGACTTCAGGCTCCATGATGTGATCATCGAACGAATAGCTACCTCTAAAGGTATGTGGGGAGCTTATAGTGCATGCAGCAGAAGGCATTGAGTGGCTTCTTAGGAGAGGCACTGTCTCTGTGGCACTGTGGGATTGCTGAAGTGACAACAATGATTGTTCGGGCTTAATTTTTTCACCGTGGGATGTCAACGTTTTTGATGCATCCAACTGGCTACTGGAACCAGACTTGATATCAAACTGAAACGGTTCTCTATATACACCAGACTTTGGAGATTCAATGCTGCTACGTCTAGATAAAGAGCTTCTTCTAGGCTTAACGCTATCTATTTCACTGGTATCTACAACAGCTTCATTAATTGTAATTAGCTTAGTGATGTGTTCAATAACCTGTGTTCTAGGCACAGATAATGGTACCATACTAGGTTTCTCTTCGGTAGACAGGTGCGGAAACCCCTGGGTTGTGTTTGTAGATAATGCTGCAGTCCTTTGCCCAATTCTACCGCATTTCCCAAAAATAATTTCTGCATAAGATTTTGCATTCGTATTCGGTGGGCTTATCTGCTGCTCTGCACTTTCTGATCTTGAGAAGTAGCCTGACTCGGTACTCCCTTTGCTCCCGGGGCTCAGGAAAGCTTGCTCATCTATGACCTTTTTCCGCTCACTTAAGCGGAGTGCAAGCTTCTGCTTTATAGTATGGGTATCTTCAGATTTATGGCTCAGAGCATGGTCTGATGACGGCTCCACAAACTGGCTGCTGTCCTCAAGAGACTGAGACATACTGGAATGAGACAATGAACACCGGTCATGGCTCGAGCCTTGGCTCCCTCCGCTCAGCAAACTACTGGACAACAGGGTGTGCTTCTGCCTGGGTGAGAGTTCTACTGTATGGCCTGACATCGCACCCGTTTCCTCCTCTGAATCTGTGCTTTCTCCTTCTGTTGGCTCTTCGAAGTCCTCCCCACCAATCCTTTCCATTTCCAAGCTTGATGGATACATCTCTGCTCCGATTCCTGAGGCCAGCCCAGCTTTTATTCGATGAGCATGAGATTTCCTATGTTTATACAAATTGCTCTTAGTCTTAAAAGAAAAGCCACATGGAATGCAAGGGTACGGCCTCTCACCCGTGTGTGACCTGATATGTTTTTGGAGCACACTTGGCTTCGCACAAGGCCTGCTGCAGTACTGGCAAATATATTTGCCTGGCTTCTGAGGTTTCTTTTCCTTCTTGTGCACTTCCTCAGCTTGTTTTAAGGAAACCTGTGCAGGGCGAGGGATATAGACCTTTTGAACAGACGGCATGTCCTCTCCAGGAATGATCGGTGAATGGGAAGCTAAGAGCTGGCCATGGTGAGAGTGAAGCCCAGGTGATGAAAAGGAGCCAGAGGGACCTGGTCTTACTGGATCAACTAGCTGCCATGTGGGACCTTCAAGGACATGCTCTGGTTTCCCAGGAGACATAAATGCTGGTGACAGTGCGTGCTGCTGAAGCTGCGAAACGTGGGGAGGATGTTCAAAAGAGGAAGGCTTAGGTTGCTTCTGATGTCCAGTCTTCTCCTGAGACTCCTCTCTTGGAATCGGCAAAGAACCAGAAAAGTGCTGCTGCGACAGGATATCTCGGAGAGGGGTTCCTTGCGAAGAAGCAGAGCTGCCCTGGTACGTAGCTGCAGATGAAATACTGGCTTGGAAAGCCTCTCCCTTGGGAAGCCTCTTTCGTGGACTTTCCTCAGCCTTTTTTGTGCTCTTCTGGCTTTGTTCAGGATCCATGACCTTAAAAGGGTCTTTGAATGCTATTTCGGGAAGGTTTTGGCAGGCTTCATTTACAAATAATAAAGGTCTCTTCTGCAGATTCCCTGTTTTGCCTGCATTTGCTACGAAGCTGGAGCCACCAGGAGATGGTTGTTGATTTGAGATTTTACTAAAGTGTCACTAGTTGCTATTTGATTCAAAAAAAAAAAAAAACAACGTTTCAAGGTCAATAAAGTTCACATTGGTAACACATGACAAACTACTTCAAAGAGAGAAAACTTTCCAAAACTTTTAGTCCAAATATTTTCCTTGTGAACTTGGTTAAGGCTTTAAAC